AAAGAAAGTGATTTTTCCTACAATCAAGGGCCATAATTCAAGAAATTACAATTCGGTATGCGCAAATATCGAAAGGAACCGAGATCTTTGGTTATATATTTACATTTCAAGTTTCAACAAAATCGGATAAAAATTGTGACCTTTATAGGGTCCACAACCTTGATAAACCATATTTTTACGCTATTTGAGAACTAGGGGCGGCCATTTTGTCTGTCAGTTTTGGGCCGATTTTCATGAAATTCGAACGCGGCTGTCCTTTAGGTTTAACGGTGACATACTAAAACGATTTTTTAAATCGGATAAAGATAAGTTGCCAGCAGCTATATCGTCCAGGCAGTCAACAAGAGTTGTCGCATATTTTTTATTTTTTTCGGTAATGAAACATTTATAATACATTAAAATCTGATTAAGAGTAACAACTCATTCAGTAATTATCAGAAAACCATTAGAATTTGTTTGTTTTTTTATAAAGTTCTGCCCCATGCTAACGTTTAGTATACAAAACTTTTAACATCATGAATTTAGCTGTTCAAGTCATAAAGATTCATTGAAAATCAATATACTTGTTCGTCTCAAGACCTTAAACTCAATCAGACGATAACATTAGCCTCTAGAGCGTCACAAGATTTTTCAAATTGATCAAGGGACATAAATTTGGCAGTAATTATCCGAAATCGTTGAAAATCACTAGGCTTCTTCGTCTCATGACCTTAAACACTGGGTATAAATTTAAAGTCAATCGGATATTAACTTTAGCCTCTAGAGCGTCCACAAGATTTTTCAAAGTGATCAAGGGACACAACTCTGGCAGTTATAATCGGAAATCGCTGAAAACAAATAGGCTTCTTCGTCTTATGACCTTAAACACGGGGTATAAATTTTCAAATTCAATCGGATATTAACTTTAGCCTCTAGAGCATCCACAAGATTTTTCAAAGTGTTCAAGGGCCACAACTCTGGCAGTAATAATCGGAAATCGCTGAAAATAAATAGGATTCTCATCTCATGACCTTAAACAGTGTGTATAAATTTAAAGTCAATCGGATATTAACTTTAGCCTCTAGAGCATCCACAAATTTTTTTAAAGTGATCAAGGGCCATAACTCTGGCAAAAATTATCGGAAATCGCTGAAAATCAATAGGATTCTTCGTCTCATGACCTTAAACACTGTCTATAAATTTAAAGTCAATCGGATATTAATTGTGACCTCTAGAGCATCCATAAGATTTTTTGAAGTGATCATGGGCCATATAACTCTGGCAGTAATTTTGAAAATCGCTGAAAATCAATAGGGTTCTTCGTCTCACGACCTTAAACACTGTGTATAAATCTAAAGTCAATCGGATATTAACTTTAGCCTATAGAGCGTCCACAAGATTTTTCAAAGTGATCAAGGGCAGTAATTATCTGAAAATCGATAGGCTTCTTCGTCTCATGACCCTAAACACTGTGTATGAATTTAAAGTCAATCGGATATTACCTTTAGCCTCTAGAGCGTCCACAAGTAATAGTGGACGCCAGACCGACGGTCGGGGGCGACGACAATATACGACCACATTTCAATGTGGGCGTATAAAAATGTGATTTTTTGTTTAATCAAGGGCCATAATTTAGGAAGTTACGATCCGATATGCGAGAATATCGAAAGGAACCAATATCTTTGGGTTATAAACATGTATTTCAAGTTTCATCGAAATCAGATCAAAAGTGTAACCTTAAAATTTGAACCCAACAAACATTACGGTTTAACGGTCATATATTTGAACTTTTTTTTTTAAATTGGGTAATAATTGTGACCTCTAAAGAAACCACAAGCTAAAAACGCGATTTTTCGTACAATCAGGGGCCATAATTCAGGAAGTTAACATTTTATATGTACAAAAATGGAAAGGAACCAAGATACTTGGGTTATAAACATGCATTTCAAGTTTCATCAAAATCAGATGAAAATTGTGACCTCCAGAGGGTCCACAACCCTGATACACAATATTTTGACACTATTTACGAACGAAGGGCGGCCATTTTGTCCGTCAGTTTCGGACCGATTTTTACGAAAAACAAACTCAACCATCCTTAGGGTGTAACAGTGATATATTTAAACGCTTTTTTAAATTGGATAATAATTGTACTCGATTTTTTGTACAACCAGGGGCCATAATTCTAGTCCAAAAAATCAACAAAAATGGGGATGCAAAAGGGGAGAAAAGAGACACCGAGAGAATTGCAATAAATAGACGAACTACAATTTGTGGGTACCTAATTGGCGAAATTTAATGGTGGTCTGCATCCATTGGTCTCGCAACATGAGTGGAACTACTTGATTCCCTATTCCCGGGTTAATAGTTCCTATTCATAGAGTTATGTCCCTGTATTATATAGTATAATGAATTGTGTCTGGGTAGTTCTGTTCCAAATTATGACTGGTCAATAGTCCAATTAACAACCAAAAGCTAACTGTGTAGCAATTTCATTAGGCTTTAATCAGAGTTCCAAATTGGACCAAATGTGTTTATATAACGTTACACCATGACTCACAATTTTATTGTGTCCAATTAACCAGTGCAGAGGAGAATATTACAGAAAAACTAATTGCGTGACAAACGAGGCTATAAAAACTGATACAATGTAACAATATTGTTTGGAGATGAACAATCCTTTCACTGTTTTTAATACCTTAAATCACTGTCCAAAGTTTTAGGGAAGACCCCAGATTAAACAAAGGGCTGTCAATGCTGCTGTACTTGGGATAGAAGTGATTGAACGGGAAGAATAGACACACTCCCTCAAAAGCTCAAGTATCAGAAGTCATTCCAGCAATGGCCAGAGAGGGATTTCTCAGGCCACTCCTTCAGGAATATGAAAATGACAGGCATATTAAACATACATTATGCAAGAGCTAAATCTGACTATTGCAGGTCTTTCTTTAGGTCTGAAATATTATCTAAATTATTAATTAGACATTCATTAACTTATCCAGACCATAATCAACTCTTGATGTCAACGCTAGCCTGCGATATTTACTAGATTAGGATCTGGTTTGCTGCTCAACTTTCATTCATTATTAAATCATGAAATGGATAATCGAGACTATGTTTTCTATCATACCGACTTAGTAATGATGATCAAGGTTAGGCTTAAAATTCAATCGCTAAAATCTCGGTTCAGAGAGGATCAATTTGACTGAAATTTTCAGCAAATTCCCTTTACATTATCTAGTTTTTAACTATTATAGTGAGAAATGCCAGCTCTTTATCTAATCTCCAATAGTGTATCTTTAATGATTTGCCATCACTGCGAATCAAAAACGTTACATTTTAATATTTGATTAGCAACGGACAAAATATGTATCACAAATTGCGCTGAGATACTGGTTGTCGGCAGCCCTGGAAGTTATATACGGAAATGGTTGAAATTCTATAGGCTTCTTCGTTTTACTAATCTCAATAATGCATACAGATTGAATGATAACTTTTGTTGTTAGAGCATATACACAAAGAGTTTAACAAAGTGAAACAAGGTCCATCACCCTAGAAATAATTAAAGGAAATTGATCAAATTTCAGAAGGCTTCTTAATTTTACTAATGTAAATAATGCATATCAATTTAATACAGACTGGATGATAACTTAGCATTTACAAGGTTTAACAAAGTGAAACAAGGGCCATAACTCTAGAAGTTATAAACGGAAATTGCTGAAATTCAATAGCCTTTTTAGTTTTATTAATTTAAATAATGCATGTAAATTTAATACAGATCGGGTGATAACTTAAGTCGTTAGAGCATTCACAAGGTCCTACAAAGAGAAACAAAGGCTATAACTCTAGAAGTTATAAATGATAATTGTTGAAATTCAATAGGCTTCTTCTTAGTTTTACTAATTTAAATAATACATGTAAATTTAATACAGATCGTATGATAACTTTAGTCGTTAGAGCGTTCACAAGGTTCAACAAAGTGAACATGGACCAAAACGCTAGAAGTAATTAACGGAAATTGTTGAAATTCAATAGGCATCTTTGTCTCAATAATTTAAACAACATACATGAATTTCAAAAAGATCTCATACTAAATGTAGAATTTAGGCTGTTCACAACAAATTGTGGATGACAGATGGACTAAAGTATGTACAGAGGCAACGGCAATGTACAACCACATTTCCATGTAGGTGCATAAAAATAGAAAAAGTAAAGTGTACCATTTACATAGGGACCACAATTGATCAGTGGAATTCAGTTCATCATATCTGGACTGATATTCCTAAATTAGAGATTAAACTGTTACAATATTATAGTTTGCAAGGGTTTCCTATATTGCTCAAATCAATCTCAGAGACTTAAAATAAGCTCATATAAAATATCTGACAATGATAGGTATTGGACTAGTGGTCATTTGGTTTGGTGTCTATTTCAATTTTTTTTTTTCAGGTTGATGCATGGACTTCCAGAATTATAAGTTACATTTAAAAGACACAACAAGTACATAATTTGTAAACACAATGAACACCTATTATCACAGATTTCATCTCAATTTTCAAGCTGTGTTTTATATAAACACTAGGGACCGGGTATCATTCAGATTTGATGAAAAAAGGAAAGAAACTGAGCTTACCATCTAGAATCTAATACACGTATCCAATAGATTGCCATCCAGAAAGTATTAAATGCCATCAAGATTCATCAAAAAAACCGGCTAGTTTTGACATTGGTTGTCTAGTTTATGACCATTTAGTTTAGTTTTGATATTGGTCGTCTGGTTTATGACCATTTAGTTTCATAAACTAGACAACCGATGTCAAAACTAAACAGTGTTTCTTAAACTATACCTAAGAGCTAAGGTACTATACCTAAGACAGAAACGTCCTACTGTTCTACTCCGACAGGGTACTTAGAGAGAAATGGGGTTTAACTTCCACGACACAAATTAGGCCATTTTTATTTCAGTAATGCCCTTGTGCATGGGGGTTATTAGCAGTTGGAGGAAACCGGAGGACTATACTTACTGTTAATGTGTTAATCTCCTTTGAAAAAGCACCAATCTCTTTAGCAGCCTTATCATCTTTCTATAATTTGGAGGAAAAAAACATCTGGTAAAGTTGCTGATTTCAACCATATATTAAACATGCATTATGCAAGAGCAAAATCTGCTTATTATAAGTCTTTCTTTCGGCCTGAAATGTTATCTAAATTATCAATTAGACATTAATTAACTTATCCAGACCATAATAAACTCTCGATGTCAAGGCTAGCCTTCGATGTTGGCTGGATTAGATTCCTATATGCCGCTAACGGCCATTGATAATTAAATAAAAAAAAAATGGATAATCGAGACTATGCTGTTTATATTAATGATTTTAGTAATGATCACAGAGACTATGCAGAAATTTCACCCGCTTCTTTCTCGGCTCATAGTGGATCAATTTGACTGAAATTTTCAGCAAATTACCTTTATACTGCCATCTCTTTATCATATCTCCCATAATGTATCTTTAATATAAGATTTAATAAAGGAAATGCTAATAAGAGATGAATCCTGGAATAAGTAAAATTCTAATCACCAGAACTTAGGTATAGAACTCGTCACCAATGGTTAATATAAGCTTATATAAATTACATTTCCGTACTTACGTGGGGAAAATTACCGTTCGTGCCATTGCCATAATTCCCATTGCGTATATCTTTACCAATATCCATGGGGCAAATAAATCCATCTGCTTCTGTTTCAGATTTTGTTCTTTTATGACCAAATAATGCAAATTTGCCTCTCTGTAAAGAAATGTCAATAGTAAGATAGCCATGTAAATTGTGGAATATGCCCACGCAGCAGCTTTGTCTCAAAAGATTGTAGCCTCTATGACGTTCACAAACTTTTTGGAAAAATGGTGATAACTCTTGAAAAGGGGACAGATTTAAAACAAATCTGTTAAAATTGTAGGCTCTATAAAGTTCACAAATGAAATGAAAGGAGGTTTAACATCCTACTGTTCTGTTTTGTTCCGGCCACTGTAAGATGCATAGTGGGTAGAACTGATTTCTGAGTATTGACTAACTGGCTTCTTTGTTAAAATATCCTTAAATCAAGTAGAATAAGTTAATTGTGGTTACTATTCATGGTAACTCGTGAGAGAGAGAAATAGGGTTTAACGTCCACTCGACCCAAACTAGGTCATTTCGGGATTAAATCATGGTTCAATTTTTTATTTCAATTTCACTGGAAAGAAACTCGTGAGAAATATACGTGTTGTCAGTAGTCGCTTAAACCCATCAGTACTTACACCGTATGTCAGTATTCCTATAAATGGTCATTAATAATCATAAGGTGAGTATTTACGTTAATTGGTAAGTATTCCTTACATGTGTCAGTATGTAAAAATAACGTGAGTAATTAAACAAACAGTGAGTTAATCCGAACATATCACTAGTCAGACGCGTGCGAGTGAAATTGGCAAACGAGTGACTAATTAACAAAACATCACTATTTCGACTACCGTTCACTATCTGGGTCAAACCACCAGTTATTTTTGATCTAAGTCAATAACTGGAACCGACGTCAGTAGAGCGTGAAATCATTAACTATATAAATTGTCACTACATCCTGAATTAATTATTATTTATAAATCATTTATTAATCTTCTTGAATAAGCGGAAATAAGGGATGCCAGTTAACTACCGTACTGTGTAAAAGACAACCGAATTGGTGTCTCAACCAGAAAATACAGTGCAATGTGTATTGTTATGTTCTTAGGGTTTCACACTGTGTAGCTTGTGTGAAACACTATTGTTTTTGTTTGGAATGGATTATTAGGCTTTCAAGTCTGAAAGCCTATTGTGATTACTAAAATTATTATTATCATTATTTACCAGGGACCCTTATTTCTCAGTCCCTGTAAGAGATATAGATCTGGGATCTAATTTTTTATCGGGAAACCATGTGGTGGTTACTCCATAAACTATTTTTGAAACTTCTACGCAGACCGGAAGTGGCCAAATTTGGTATGGTGCCAAAAAGTTAAAAAACAGCCGTTGTTTCGTCAATTCTTTACCTATTTTCAACAAATGACATTTTTGGAAACTCTGGGTCTTTTCTGTACCATAGCATTTGAAAATTTCGAAATTTCATCGCTGACTTCTAGCGTTCGTAAAATGAAAAGATGGGTTGCCGGGCAACGACACATACGCCCACAGCAGCTAAATCGTCCGGGCAGTCAACAAGTAACTTTCGCATATTTTTACTTTTTTTGGTAATGAAACATTTATAATACACTATAATCTGATTAAGAGTAACAACTCATTAAGTAATTATCAATCTGAAGTCAATCGGATGATAACTTTAGCCTCTAGAACGTCACAAGATTTTTCAAAGTGATCAAGGGCCATAACTTTGGCAGTAATTATCAGAAATCGTTGAAAATCAATAGGCTTCTTCGTCTCATGACCTTAAACACTGTGTATAAATTTAAAGATAATCAGATATTAACTTTGACCTCTAGAGCGTCCACAAGATTTTTTGAAGTAATCAAGGACCATAACTCTGGCAGTAATTATCGGAAATCGCTGAAAATCAATAGGATTCTTTGTCGAATGACCTTAAACACTGTGTATAAATTTAAAGTCAATCTAATATTAACTTTGACCTCTAGAGTGTCCACAAGATTTTTTTTGAAGTGATCAAGGGCCATAACTCTGGCAGTAATTATCGAAAATTGCTGAAAATCAATAGGATTCTTTGTCGTGTGACCTTAAACACTGTCTATAAATTTAAAGTCAATCTGATATTAATTTTGACCTCTAGAGCATCCACAAGATTTTTTTGAAGTGATCAAGGGCCATAACTCTGGCAGTAACTATCGGAAATCGCTGAAAATCAATAGGATTCCTCGTCTCATGACCTTATACACTGTGTATAAATTTAAAGTCAATCGGATATTAACTTTGACCTCTAAAGCGTCCACAGGATTTTTTGAAGTGATCAAGAGCCATAACTTTGGCAGTAATTATCGGAAATCGTTGAAAATCAATAGGATTCTTCGTCTCATGACCTTAAGCACTGTGTATAAATTTAAAGTCAATCAGATATTAATTTTGACCTCTAGAGCGTTCACAAGATTTTTTTGAAGTGATCAAGGGCCATAACTCTGGCAGTAACTATCGGAAATCGCTGAAAATCAATAGGATTTCTCGTCTCATGACCTTATACACTGTGTATAAATTTAACGTCAATCGGATATTAACTTTAGCCTCTAGAGCTAATTGCCTGTGGACGTCGGACCGACGGACGGACAGGCAGGGGCGATGACAATATATGACCACATTTCAATGTGGGCGTATAAAAATGCTGTTTAAGAGACATTTTTGTTATTTTTCAAAATTTTCAAATTTGACCTACATTTTTGGATACGGTACCTGGTCCCAAGTTCACAAATGTCCATCCGATTCCAGCCATGTAAGTTCCATTCAGAGTTATCGCCGTTCATTTTTCGAATTTTCAACCCATTTGTTAATCCTTATATTTTTTGAAAGGATCATTCGATATTTCTGAAACTCCCACAAAATAAAGCCATATGGTCAAACCGATCGATAAAGCAATTCCAACAAGGATTTGTGAACTGGAAGTAGTCGAAATAATGTCCGATATTTTAAAAAAAAAGTAAAAAAATGGCTGCTTTTAGGAAAAATGTGATTTCTCCTTTCGATAACAATGGATTAAACCAATTAAGGTATTGTTGAGTGGTCCGAGAATTGCATTGCCGTCTGATACCCAATTCATACAGATACTATGACCAGGCAGCAAAATAGGGCACGCTGAAAATCAAGTATTTTTTGATTTGGAGCGTTTTTGAACGCATTTATCTCGAAAACTGCTGCAGCGATTTTTCTTAAACTTTCTCTACCGCAAGTTCTGCACGAAGACATCCAATAAGACTTTGAAATAACTGGAATAGGAGAAAAGATAGGTTGCCAGGCAACGAAACATATGCCCACAGTAGCTAAATCGATCGAGCGGTCGACAAGGGTTGTCGCATATATTTTTCTTTGTAGATCAGATTATAATTTTTGCTGTGTGAGGGTTCACAAGGTTCTACAAACTGAAACAAGGGTCTCAACTCTGGAAGTAATCTACAGAAATTGTTGAAATTTGACAGGCTTTTTCGTTTTACTTATTTAAATAATGCATATAAATTTCATACTGATCAAATGATCACTTTTGTCATTCAAACGTTCACAAGGTTCACAACTGCCATAACTCTAGAAATTATTGACGGAAATTGCTGAAATTCAACAGACCTCTGTTTCACAAATTTCAATGATGCATATAAATTAAATTGCTGAAATTCAATAGGCTTCTTCGCATCACTAATTTAAATAATGCATATAAATTTCAGAAAGATCGGATGATAACTTTTGGTGTTAGAGCATTCACAAGGTTCAATAAAGTGAAACAAGGGCCATAACTCTAGACGTAATGAACAAAAATGATTGAAATTTTACATAGCCTTCTTCGTTTCACTAATTTAAATCATGCATTTAAAATTTCACAAAGATTGGGTGATAAACTTTGGTGTTAGACCATTCACAAGGTTCAATAAAGTGAAACAAGGGCCATAACTCTAAACGTAATAAACGGAAATTGCTGAAATTCAATAGACTTCTTCGTTTCACTAATTTAAATAATCCATATAAATTAGGATGACCACACAATTTTATCCACCGCAGACACTTCTCGTGGTTTGTTGTCGGTTTCGGGAAGGGAATAAATACGAAACCGACCTCTAACCTCTCTGAATAAAGGCTATCGCTCTTACCTTGTCCGTGTGAACAATGCTTCACCATGACTGTTGACGTTTCAAAACATGACAAAATGTCAACAATGTCTAAGGTGAAGAAGCATGGAACATTGACGTCATTTCGCGGGAAATTGCAAACGAAGCTGATTGGTTAAAACCTTTTTGTTGGCGGTGTCGACAGAAAGGTCAATCCATGAAGTTACAGTCCGATACATGCAGTATCGAAAGGAAGCGAGATCTTAGGGAGATAAACCTATATTTCAAGTTTCGTTGAAATCGGATCAAAATAGTGACCTGTAGTAGAGTGTCCACAAACAATAGTGGACATGAAAATGTGGGCATATAAAAATGCCATAATCCAGGAAGTTACGTTCCAATATGTGTGATTATCAAAGGCAACCAAGATCTTTATGATAAAAACATATATTTAAAGTTTCATCCAAATCTGATAAAGATAAGTTGTCGCATATTTTTATTTTTTTCGGTAATGAAACATTTGTAATACACTAAAATCTGATTAAGAGCAACAACTCATGAAGTAATTATCAGAAAACCATTAGAATTTGTTTGTTTTTATAATGTTCTGCAACATGCTAACGTTTTGTATACAAAACTTTTAATATCATGGATTTAGCTGTTCAAGACATAAAAATTCATTGAAAATCAATATACTTGTTTTTCGTCTCAAGATCTTAAACTCTGTGTATCAATCTGATGATAACTTTAGCCTTTAGAGTGTCACAAAGTGATCAAGGGCCATAACTTTGGCAGTAATTATCGCAAATCGTAGAAAATCAATAGGATTCTTCGTCTCATGACCTTAAACACAGTGTATAAATTTAAAGTCAATCAGATATTAACTTTGGCCTCTAGAGCGTCCACAAGATTTTTCAAAGTGATCAAGGGCCATAACTCTGGCAGTAATTATCGGAAATCGCTGAATATCAATAGGCTTCTTCGTCTCAAGACCTTAAACACTGTGTATAAATTTAAAGTCAATCAGATATTAACTTTGGCCTCTAGAGCTTGTGGACGACGGACCGACGGACGGGGGCGACGACAATATATGACCACATTTCAATGTGGGCGTATAAAAACTGTGGCGTCTAGAGGGTCCACAACCTTGATATACCATATTTTTATTTTTTTTATTTTCATGAAATTCGAACTCAACCATCATTAGTTTATAACTGTGATATATTGACACTGTTTTTTTTAAATCGGATAAAAATTGTGACCTCTATAGGGACCACAAGCTCAAAACGTGACTTTTTGTACAATCAAGGGCCATAATTCAAGAAGTTACGATCTGATATGCACGAATTTCGAAAGGAACCAAGATCTTTGGGTTATAAACATGCATTTCAAGTTTCATCAAAATCGGTTATAAAAATTGCGACCTCTAAGAGGTCCACAACCTTGATATACCAGATGTTCACACTATTTGCGTACAAGGGGCGGTCATTTTGTCTGACAGTTTTGGTCTGATTTTTACGAAATTTGAACTCGACCATCATTAGGGTTTAACGGTGATATACTAAAATATTTTTTAAATCATGGGGCCATAAATCATGAAGTTATGATCCGATACATGCCAATATCGAAAGGAACTAAGACCTTTGGGATATAAACCTTTTTTCAAGTGTCGTCAAAACGGATAAAAATTGTGACCTGTAGAGGCTCCACAAACAAAATGTTAACGGATACTTGCGACAACATAATACGTCTACATGAAAACGTGGGCATATAAAAATATCTATTAAACAAAACTATGGCCATATAACTATATTTCAAGTTACGTCAAAATCAGATAAAAATTGTGACATGTTGAGTGCCCACAAACAAAATGTGAACAGACAGACACCCGGAAAGACGGCAATATACATCCTCATGAAAATGTGGGCGTATTAATAATAGTGCAGGGATATCACCCAGCTCTATCAAAACATACTATATAAAATAGCCTCACTTACCTTTATTTTAGAACTGGGTAATAATGGTACATAGCCGACGGTGGCCTCATATTCCCGTTTTTTCTGTTGTGTACCATTTCCTATCAATGCTACAAAATGTGTGTTGAGATGACGCTTTAGCAGAGTTTTAGTATGAGGGATGGATAAAAGTTGTGAGAAGAGTTCTGCTGTAAATCGGGGTTCAAGTACCTAAAAATAAATCATGGTTTTACACGATATACTATTCTTTTCACAGGCAAGTTTGACTTTGGACAGATTTAATGTAATTGACCTATTTAATTTTTCTGGTCATCTGACAAAATAATCCGTTTTAGTGAATTGCTGTATGAACACTGCTAAATTCTGTGGTGGGAGGGCCTCTATGCAAAACATTTAAAACTGAAAATTGTATTGCTGATATTAGATGCTGGATGTCACAAAATTTCTAAAATTTAACGATGGAACAACTGAATATCTTATTATTGACAACAATTCAATTTCAATATTATCAGTATTATTATTACAGCATATTTATAGTGCACCCTTTCATATAATATTTTCAGGGGCACTTTACAAAGTGACAATGTAATCATAAAAAAACATGATTATGAACATGTTAAAGTTGCAATTTCATATTTTTAAGTTATATTTTTAAAATGTATTAAAATAAAGCCATAAAATAGATGGTATCTATAAACAGTCCTACCTTGTTAAAGAATAATCCTATTAATCCTATAATTCACTATTGCTAGTTTGAAGATAGCTATGCCATGGGGGGGAATAAAAAACAAGGGAGGTAATTGTGTTATTATTTCCGGGGTCAAAGGATTTTTAAGTGGGAGAATAATACCTATGATCGTATAATAGTGAGTTGACAACCTATTGAGCAAAAGAAATAGAAATAATTATGTTTTGACTTTCTTAGAAAATATAAAATTATTGCTTTAACGATTGAGTACAGAAGTAATTATCAGAAAACCATTAGAATTTGTTTGTCTTTATAAAGTTTTGCCACATGCTAATGTTTTGTATACAAAACTTTTAATATCATGGATTTAGCTGTTCAGGACATAAAAATTCATTGAAAATCAATATACTTGTTTGTCTCTAGATCTTAAACTCTGTGTATCAATCTGAAGTCAATCAGATGATAACTTTAGCCTATAGAGCGTCACAAAGTGATCAAGGGCCATAACTTTGGCAGTAATTATCGGAAATCATTGAAAATAAATAGGATTCTTCATCTCATGACCTTAAACACTGTGTATAAATTTAAAGTCAATCAGATATTAACTTTGGCCTCTAGAGCGTCCACAAGATTTTTCAAAGTGATCAAGGGCCATAACCCTGGCAGTAATTATCGGAAATCGCTGAAAATCAATAGGCTTCTTCGTCTCATGACCTTAAACACTGTGTATAAATTTAAAGTCTATCGGATATTAACTTTGACCTCTAGAGCGTCCACAAGATTTTTTGAAGTGACCAAGTGCCATATTTCTGGCAGTAACTATCGAAAATCGTTGAAAATTAATAGGTTTCTTCGTCTCATGACCTTAAACACTATGTATAAATTTAAAGTCAATCGGATATTAACTTTGACCTCTAGAGCGCCCACAAGACTTTTCAAAGTGATCAAGGCCATAACCCTGGCAATAATTATCGGAAATTGCTGAAAATCAATAGGCTTTTTCGTCTCATGATCTTAACCAATGTGTATCAATTTAAAGTCAATCGGAAATTAACTTTAGCCTCTAGAGCATCCACAAGATTTTTTGAAGTGATCAAGGGCCATGACTCTGGCAGTAATTATCTAAAATCGTTGAAAATCAATAGGCTTTTTTGTCTCATGACCTTAAACACTGTGTATAAATTTAAAGTTGACCTCTAGAGCGTCCACAAGATTTTTTGAAGTTATCAAGGGCCATAACTCTGACAGTAATTATCGAAAATCGCTGAAAATCAATAGGCTTCTTTGTCTCATGACCTTAACCAATGTGTATCAATTTAAAGTCAATCGGAAATTAACTTTAGCCTATAGAGCGTCCACAATCAGACGGCCAAAGGGGGGGGGGGGAGGGACAACAATATACGACCATATTTCAATGTGGGCGTATAAAAAACCAGCGGCTGCAAGGCAGGATACGCCCACATTTTCGAGAGATTAATAGAGAACAAGCTAAAAAGAAAGTGATTTTTCCTACAATCAAGGGCCATAATTCAGGAAATTACTATTCGATATGCGCCAAGATCTTTGGGTTATAAACTTACATTTCAAGTTTCAACAAGATAGGATAAAAATTGTGACCTTTACAGGGTCCACAACCTTGATATACCATATTTTTATGCTATTTGAGAACGAGGGGCGGCCATTTTGCCTGTCAGTTTGGGGCTGATTTTCACAAAGTTCGAACTCAGCCATCGTTAGGGTGTCGGGGTGATATAATAATACGTTTTTTTAAATTGGATAAAAATTATGACCTCTATAGGGTCCACAAGCTAAAAACACGATTTTTCGTACAATCAGGGTCCATAATTCAGGAAGTTACAGTCCGATATGCGCGAATATCGAAAGGAACCGAGATCTTTGGGTTATAAACAACAAAATCGAATAAAAATTGTGACCTCTATAGGGTCCACAACCTTGATATACCATATTCTTACGCTATTTGGGAACGAATGGCGGCCATTTTGTCTGTCAATTTTGTGGCGATTTTCACAAAATTCAAACTCAACTGTCCTTAGGGTGGAACAGTAATATAATAATACGGTTTTTTAAATCGGATATACCATACCATATATACCATATTTGTACGCTATTTGAGAACGAAGGGCGGCCATTTTGCCTGTCAGTTTTGGACCAATTTTCACGGAATTCAAACTCCCACCATCCTTAGGGTGTAACGGTGATATAATAATACGTTTTTTTAAATCGGATAAAAACTATGACCTCTATAGGGTCCACAAGCTAAAAATGCGATTTTTCGTACAATCAGGGGCCATAATTCAGGAAGTTACGGTCCGATATGCACATCTATCGAAAGGAACCAAGATCTTTGGGTTATAAACTTACATTTCAAGTTTCAACAAAATCGGATAACCAGCGGCTGCCAGGCAGGATACGCCCACATTTTCGAGAGATGGATAGAGAACAAGCTAACACGAAAGGAACTGAGATCTTTGTGTTATAAACTTACATTTCAAGTTTCAACAAAATCGGATAAAAATTGTGACCTCTATAGGGTCCACAACCTTGATATACCATATTTTTACGCTATTTGAGAACGAACGGCGGCCATTTTGTCTGTCAATTTTGGGGCGATTTTCACAAAATTCAAACTCAACTGTCCTTAGGGCGGAACGGTAATATAATAATACGGTTTTTTAAATCAGATAAAAATTATGACCTCTAATGGGTCCACAAGCTAAAAACGTGATTTTTCGTACAATCAGGGGCCATAATTCAGGAAGTTACGGTTCGATATGGGCGAATATCAGAAGGAACCGAGATCTTTGGGTTATAGACTTATATTTCAAGTTTCAACAAAATCGGATAAAAATATACCATATTTTTATGCTATTTGAAAATGAACGGCGGCCATTTTGTCTGTCAATTTTAGGCCGATTTTCATGAAATTCAAACTCAGTCGTCCTTAGAGTGTAACGGTGATATAATAATACGTTTTTTTAGATCGGATAAAAATTATGACCTCTATAGGGTCCACAAGCTAAAAACGCGATTTTTCGTACAATCAGGGGCCATAATTCAGGAAATTACAGTCCGATATGCGCGAATATCGAAAGGAACCGAGATCTTTGGGTTATAGACTTACATTTCAAGTTTCAACAAAATCGGATAAAAATTGTGACCTCTATAGGGTCCACAACCTTGATATACCATTTTCTTACGCTATTTGAGAACGAACAACGTCCATTTTGTCTGTCAATTTTGGGCAGATTTTCACGAAATTCGATATAATAATACTTTTTTTTAAATCGGATAAAAATTATGACCTGTATTCGAACTCAGCTGTCCTTAGGGTGTAACGGTGATATAATAATACTTTTTTTTAAATCGGATAAAAATTATGACCTGTATAGGGTCCACAAGCTAAAAACGGGATTTCAATGTGGGTGTATAAAAAGGCTTTTAACCAGTGATCTTTTTATATAGATTATCCAGAGCTATTTTAATTTCTAATTACATGTAATTCTATTTAAATCACAACTTTTATTTATATATCTCATTTTATTATGTAAATGTAATATGTGACCCGTCATGGCATAATGAGTCGCAATAAGGAAATTTTCACATTCTCCAACTCAATACCTTCAATCTGATGTATAGTTTGTTTGAATCGGGCAAAAATTGACTGAGCTGTGTCCACTTGAAGAAAATCAAGTCAAAGATTTGGTATGTTTCAAAACGATATCCCATAGCAACCAGGCCATTTATTTGCTGTTTTGTCGTTGAATATTGTTTTCTAGAGATTAAATAATATTTTCTAAAAGTTTTGCAGCAATTCAACTGTCCGAATGGCAAAATTTGAAAATGAGATCCCTTGACTAAATCTAACAAACTCACTACGGCGCTGTTATTTTTTGTGCCACAACAGATGATCTGCCAATCATATAATTAGTACTTACCATAATACCCCCATGAACACCGCTACCTCTCAGATTAGGGGCATATTCTGACAGATCTATTGTTCTTAACCATTCCATAACACGATGGGTTGTCCATGACATGACATCACCAGGAAGGATCTAAACATTAAAAACAACCTTTAACACAACATTTAATTTGATTTTACATGTATTTATCAATTCATGTACTGGTCAATACAAGACATGTATAATTAGCAACAGGCACAAAAACTATAAATAGCTTGATGTGTGTACAATTTTTATATTAATATCTTCAACAGTTCCCAAGATATGCCCCGGAAACAAAACCAGGACAGAAGCATGGAACTCATTTCAATAGTGCGAGATAATAAAGCATATAATATTGACATCTTAGAGTTTCTTTGGAGAGAGAGAGAAATGGTGTTTAAGGTCCACTCGACACAAACTAGGTCATTTCGGGACTAACACATGGTTCAATATTATTTCAACAAATCGCTTGTGCATAGGGGTCTTTTGCAGTGGGAGGAAACCGGAGGGCGTGGAGAAAACCCACGAGGTTGGACAGCCGACCCTACTCTCTGCCACGTACAACCATTGGAATCGAAACCACGGCAGTTGACTAAATGACAGGCCTTTTGATACAGTGCGCACGTGCTAACCATTTGGCCATCCAACCCCCCTCAGTTTCTTTGGTGTCTATATTTAATACAAGTTATCAAATGGATACCATCAATATGCTTTCATACAAATTGCATGTTTTTGATTTAATGTATAAAGCTGATATGATAAAAACATTTTACACTGATAAGAGAGAGAGAAATGGGGTTTAACGTCCACTCAACACAAACTAGGTCATTTTGGGACTAACACCAGGTTCAATTTTATTTCATTAATTCGCTTGCACGTAGGGGTCTTTAGCAGTGGGAGGAAACCGGAGGACCCGGAGAAAACCCACGAGGTTGGACAGGCGACCCTACTCCTTGTCATGTACAACCGGAGAATCAAAACCCTGCCAGTTGACTGAATGACAGACCTTATCATACAGTACGCACATGCTAACCATTCAGCCATTCAACCCCCACCCCACCCCACATTGACAAGAACAAACTTAGTTTACTCACCTCATCAGGCGAAGGTCGACGACGAAGACATTGTGGATCAAAATTATTCAAACGTAAAACTTGAATACCACGCTTAATGCTAATATGATGGAGTTCATTTGACACTCTCAAGGCTAACAGATCATCCTAAATTTACAATTATCAATAATTAAATTTCAACTAAAAACAAATATTTAGTGATATTCCTACAATATAATATAAACAAAACATCTCAACATTAAATGGTTCTCAACAGTTTTATTGTGGCTGTGCATGTGAAGGCGGTTGTAGTGACACCCTAGTGTGCATTAGAAATGAAATGAAATGGGGTTTAACGTCCTACTGTTCTGCTCCTACCCTGGGCTAATGAAGACGGGCATGCGCCATACAGTGTGCTATGAGGGAAATTTTGCCCGGGCAGCGGCGCTACGGCCTACTCTTATATCGAATTCCAACTGCCAAGGGATCTTTTACGTGCATTCCAATGTATACACAGGACCTCGGTTTTTCGTCTCATCCGAAGGACTAGTGTGCATTAGATATTTTTTTTAATAAAATCTATGAAGCTAAAATAATCATGTAACTTACAACTGTCATATAATGTAGCATTCTACCATCTATTCTAGCATCATAAAAACTATCTTTATACTGTGGAAGCCCAATATCATCTAACCATCCTGTATATAAATATTATTATAATAAAATATTATATCATCTGAACCATCTTGTATATAAATATTACATAATCTATTTTTCATTTGATCATGTTATAACAACTCTGATATTATTCTGCATTTTGTTAAATATGCCTTTACTGTTCTAACATTAATAACCTCTAGAAGGGCTCCTTACTTCACTCACGCCAACAGCTAAGCTGAAAGCCTGTCGTTTAGGATTTTTCATAAATTTGCCTTGTGCATGCCCCAGTATTTTTAAGTAAGATTGAATGTCTCTACTTTTCATATAACAAAATTCCAATACTTTTATTGTAAATTATTACACGATAAATACTTTCGTGGGAATGTATCTTTAATAATAATAACAAGATTATCTTAAATTCTGTAAACAAAAGTAAGAACATATGCAGGGATTTGTCAAGTCCACCATCTTGCAGAGCATGTATTTAAACAATCCATTGTCTGGAGGCTCAGTGCGGGAGGGTGTCCATTAAATGGGCACAAAACCAAAGCCAATTTTTCTATAGTAAAAGTTTGCGTAGAATACGTTGCCGAGTGGTAATCAGTCCGCCATTGGCGCATTATCAAGATATACGGGGTCAAAGGTGAGATGAGGTCATTTGCACTTAAAGAGAATGCACAGCCATTCTTGTATCATGAAAACATGCTGAAAATGATCAAAAGTAATCACCCTTTCAATAAAGATAGGTTGCCAGGCAATAAAACATACGCCCACAGCAGCTAAATCGTCCGATCGGTCGACAAGGGTTGTCGCATATTTATTCTTTTGTAGGTAATTAGGAGCATTTAATAGACAATTTCATACAGATGACATTATAATTTTCGTCGTTTGAGGGTTCACAAGGTTCTAAAGATAGGTTGCCAGGCAACAAAACATATGCCCACAGCAGCTAAATCGTCTGAGCGGTCGACAAGAGTTGTCGCATATTTATTCCTTTGCAGGTAATTGGGGGCCTTTACAAGACAGTTCCATACAGATCAGATTATAATTTTTGCCGTTTGATGGTTCACAAGGTTCTAAAAACTGAAACAAGGGTCTCAACTGGAAGTAATATACAGAAATTGTTGAAATTTGACAGGCTTTTTCGTTTTACTAATCTAAATAATGCATATAAATTTCATACAGATCAGATGATCACTTTTGTCATTCAAACGTTCACAAGGTTCACAACCGCCATAACTATAGAATTATTGACGGAAATTGCTGAAATTCAATAGACCTCTGTTTCACAAATTTAAATGATGCATATAAATTTCATACATATCGGATGATAACTTTCATCAATCGAGCATTAACAAGGTTGAACAAAGTGAAACAAGGGCCATAACTCTAGAAGTAATAAACGGAAATTGCTGAAATTCAATAGGATTCTTATCTTTACTAATTTAAATGACCCATGTAAATTTCATACAGATCAGCAGATAACTTTTGATGTTGGAGCATTCACATGGTTCAATAAAGTGAAACAAGGGCCATAACTCTAGAAATAATAAACGGAAATTGCTGAAATTCCATTGGCTTCTTCGTTTCATTAAATGAAATAATGCATATCAATTTCAGAAAGATAGGATTATAACTTTTGGCATTTAAGCGTTCACAAGGTACAATAATGTGAAACAAGGGCCGTAAATCCCGACAAAATAAACAGAAATTATTGAAATTAAATAGGCTTTTTCGTTTCACTAATTTATATCCTGCATATAAATTTCACAAAGATTGGGTGTTAAGAACGTTCACAAGGTTAAACAAAGTGAAATAAGGGCCATAACTCTAGAAGTAATAAACAGAAATTGCTGAAATTCAATAGGCTTCTTCGTTTCCCTAATTTAAATATTGCATATAAATTTCACAAAGATCGGAGAGAGAGAAAGAGAGAGAGATGGGGTTGAACACTGACACAAACTAGGTCATTTCGGGACTAACATATGGTTTAATTTTATTTCAATAATTCCCTTGCACGTAGGAGTCTTTAGCAGTGGGAGGAAACCGGAGGACCCGGAGAAAACCCATGAGGTTGGACAATTGACCTTAATCCTTGTCACGTACAACCAGGGAATCGAAACCACGCTAGTTGACTCAATGACAGGCCTTATGATACAGCGCGCACATGCTAACCACTCGGCCATCCAACCCCCCCACAATGATAGGATGTTAACTTTTGGCATTAGAGCATTCACAAGGTTCAACAAAGTGAAACAAGGGCCATAACTACAGAAGAAATTAACGGAAGTTATTGAAATTAAATTGGCTTCTTCATCTCACTAATGCAAACAACATATACTATTCAAAAAAAGTAGGGGATATTTGATTTTTAACTGTTATTAAAGTCACCTAATGAAACTGACGAAGAAACAAATGACAAAATGAAATGAAGTTCACATTCATCGATTTATTCCAAATGATCGTTAGACTAAGTAAGGCACAGACTGACCATTATAAGGGTAAAATGATACCCGGGGTCAAACAGCAAAGTTACCACAGCATCACAACCAAGTCAGTAACGGGTAAATCCTCCTCTGTTTGCCAAACAAGCATTGATCCGACGTGGCATACTCCTAATGAGACGTCTAAGGTCATTTTGGTCCAGATTGTCCCATTCCTGTTGCAACGCAGCAGCAAGTTCTTGGACATTGGCAGGACGTTGTTGACGTTGACGTAACCTCTGTCCAAGCATGTCCCAGACATGCTCGATGGGGGAGAGGTCGGGACTCAGTGCTGGCCAAGGTAATGTGGTGATGTTCTGTTGTTGGAGGTAACCTGTAACGATCCTGGCCCTGTGACATCTTGCGTTGTCATCCTGGAAGATGAAACGGTGGCCATGACGTCGTGCGAACGGCACAACATGGACTGCCAAGATGTTGTCCCGGTAGTACTGGCCTGTAACACGCCCTGCAACAACATGTAAAGCCGTTCTTCCAGCAACAGTGATGCCTCCCCACACCATAACAGAACCACCCCCAAATCGATCATGTCTGATGACGTTAACGTCTTGGAAGCGCTCGTTTCGACGACGCCACACCCTCCTACGTCTGTCAAAAAAATTAACAGTGAACCTTGACTCATCTGAAAACATCACATTGCTCTAGCGTCGATTATCCCAGTGTTGACGATCCCTACACCAACGACGTCTTGCCTGAATGTGATGATCTCTCAAACAAGGGATCACGCGAGGACGTCGGGCGCGAAGGTGACCCCTATGCAGTCGATTCCGAATCGTATGGCCACTCACTCTCACACCAGTGTCTGTTTGAAGACGAGCGCTGATCTGATTTGCTGTGATGACACGATTTCTCAAGGCCAAGGTACGGATAAATCGATCCTGGGCTTGAGTTGTCGCCCTTGGTGGACCTGAGCGTGGTCTGTCCTGTACAGATTGTGTATCACGGTATCTGGACCATAGCCTGCTTATGACAGACTGAGAAACATTCATCGTCCGCGCCACAACCGCCTGTGTTGTGCCGATCTGTAGCATGCCAAGGGCACGTAACCTTTCATTTTGGGTAAGCCGACGCATATCAAAATTTGTTTTCTGGTCACTAAAACAATTAAACTGATGTTTCCACCCTGGAATTCAATGAAACAATGACTGTAACATTCAAAGTCAGAGTCGTGCAAATCTTGGGTTGGACCCCCATGATGATCCCAAGCATCACCTGCATTCCATGCGGTAGCTATTGGTGCGTTTGGGCGTCACATGTAACTGGAAATGTTTCTTCTGTTAGGTTCTATAGTGACTTTTTTCGTAGTCATTTGCATATTTTAGTATTATGCCCCCAAAATCAAATATCCCCTACTTTTTTTGAATAGTATATATTATATCAATTTCAAAACAATCAGATCATAAATGTAGTCTGTAAAGTGTTCACAAGAAATTGTGGACGACGAACGGACCGACTGACGGACGAACAGACGGGGGCGATAGCAATATACGACCACATTTCCATGTGGGTGTATCAAAATGTAAACTTGCTAAATTCATCTTTGTTCTTTGTGATCCTGGAAATCAGAAGGTCAAATTTTCCGTTTTTGTACTGGGAAGATTTAAAGCAATAAATGCCAGCATAAACAAACCAACGGAGAGGCTGATGTTCCAAAGTCTTGACCAATCAAATTGCTTATTGCTCCTTTGCCTAAGCAGAAAATTCTCATCATCTAACTTAGTCAAGGTAATGATATAATGAATCTATATTCGGAGTTTCATCGTTCTGACTTTTTATAACCAAGGTTATCGTGCCGAATCTAGAAATGTCAACATCCACAGAAAGCACCGAATTGGCAAATCAAGGAATGTCAACTTACACAGAAAGCACCTAATTGGCGGATCCAGGAATGTCAACTTACACAGAAAGCACCGAATCATTCACTTCTGCTAAATCTGGCCTTGCTTTCGATAAAACGGCTGTAGATATTGGCACTTGGTCCAAATATCAAAATTTAAAAGATAGATATGACGTCACCCTTTGATGTTTTTAACCAGTATATAGGAGAATGTACGCTTTTCTTAAACAATCGTCTATTATTTATGAAACTGTCCATTATTTTCAATAAATAATGGACAGTTTTATAAATAATAGACGATTGTTTAAGAAAATATCAATAATAGACACGTATCTGAAAAATGAACATGTATTTTGGGATAATTTATTCTCTGAACAAATTAAATTACAGAACATGAAATTACTTTAAAACCTCATAGTTACCGAAATGTCACATGATCGAATGTTGATTTCACGTGTTCGTCTACATAAGGAATTCCACTTAAATCCGTCCGTTATATGTCACTTATCTGTTTAATATAGTATGTTCGGCACTAGATTGATGATACGTTTTTATACGCCCACATTTTCATACCTTCTTTGTGGACACTCTAAAGGTCATAGCTTGAAAAATAGGTATATATCCCAAAGATCTCGGTTCCTTTCGATATTGTCTGGCATGGGACCGTAACTTCATGGATTATGGCCCCTGACTGTACACA